AACTTTAATACTCTGCAAGACAAACTTTTAGCTAAAATATTAGAACTGTTCACTTTAGCTTTCTGCTACTTATTGTCATAAAGTTCTTATAAAACTATACACTACATGCTTCTGTTTCAAACTAATATTTTACTAGGTTTCCTTAAGTTTAGTACTTGTTTTGTAAAAAAGTTTTTTGCTTCAGTATTGGTTTTGATGATCAGCAGAAAGAGTTGCCTCATTTGATCTTATCTGAAAAAAAAAAATATGATAATTAGTTTAAATATAATTATATAACTATTTTTTTAATATGATGTAGTAATTATATAACTATTTTTTTAATATAATATAATAATTATAATTATTTTTTAATAGATAGGATTTAGATGTACTACCAGTAGTACTTTGTACTATATTGTGATAGCAAATAAGATCATTTTCTCGCTAATTGAAAAGCTATTCAAGTTTATATTATAATATTATGTTTTTCATAATTTGCATATCATGTAAGAAAAGTTTTGATATAAACTTTGTATCAAATATTTGAGTTAGAGCAAGCTTAATTTATAATATCAATTTTGTAATACAAATTATGCAAGTTACAAATAAATATGTAATCAAGCATTATCATTATTGTTATAGTTTAGTTAAATGCATATTAAAATTGTAAATATGATATAATAGTAAATATATTAAGAAAGTAAAAAAAAGTTAATTACCCTTTACTCACAAAATAAGTTCAATGAAAGTCTCTCTTGTGTAAAAAGTGATTAAAAAATAAGTTTGGTTAATTGATTTGTAAAATAAAGTATAATATTAAGGCATTTATATTACTTATAAGAGTTTAAATAGGTAAATTTAGATAGTTACAGTTACAAACATTATTAGTCTAGTATTTTTTTTTTTTTTTTTTACATTTTTTTTTTTTTTTTACTATTTTTTTTTTCTTTATCAAATTTTCTACATTAAGTATAGGCCATATTTCATCACATATTAAGGAGAGATCTAAAGTTTCTATTTTAGATAGTATAGTAGGTGAAAGTATTAGCTATCTAATATTAGAAGATAGGTAGAAAACCAAAAGACTTTTTGCTATAGTAGTACAAGTTGCACCTGTTAATAATTGATAGAAAATTAAACTTGATGCAAATCAGGATATAAAAATTAAGGTCTTAGCTAGTTACATAAAATTTGTAGCTACTAATGATAATAATTCAAATGAAAATAATATACTGAAGGGATCAGAAGAACCTGTTGAACTAGAAACAAACTTGTCAAGTAAAGAAGAAGAAAATAAGAAGATAAATACTAGTAATGAAAATGAAATAATATAGGTGAATGAAATTGTCACTATCAATTCTCACCAAGTAAATCATATATATTCTAAGGTTTCTGTGATACATATTTCTCATATTGTATCAGTATTACCAAAACAATTTTTTGAACACTTTTTTCTAGTTGATTATATAATATCAACTATTATACTATATACCAATAAATATGCATGTGAACTTGGAATAATATTACCTAAATAGAATTTATGTATTTATTGGTATTTTAATAATAATAACCTATGTTCATTGTGCTAATGCTCGTGACTATTAGTCTGTTAAAGAAGGAACCTGTAGTGTAGCATTATCTTTTGGAAAGTATATATCATATAAGCAATTTTAGGATATTACAAAATATTTGATGTTAAGTAATACAAAAAAAAATAGTGATCTATTTTTTTTTGTACGAAAGTTTAATAATGCATTTAACAAAAATCTTTCTAAGGCAATTATATCTAGTGATCATCTTTGCATTGATAAATCTATGTGCCAATAGATAGTTAAAGTAAATAAAGGCCTTTTTCAATGAAAAATTATAAGAAAGCTCTATTTGATAAGTTGTGAATTCAAAACAATTGCAGATGCCTAAACTAATTTACTTATACGTTTAGATCCTGTAGAGCTACCTAAATTTTCTAAAAAAAAATTTTTTTTGATGATTATATACTAACAGTTGCAACTATTTTGCAATTAACTGAGCTATAGTTTAATAGTAGTAGAACTATCATAGCAGACTTATAGTTTGGCTGTATAAATACATGTGTTACTTTATATAAGTATAGTTTTTATTCGATTTTGCAAATAAAGAAATGCTATTATTAGCCAAAAAATATCCCTTCAGATATTACTGATATTCTTGAAGATAGTTATAGGTCATTTAATAGTCGAACTAGAAAATTAGATAGAGTTAATTTTACTGTATATTCTATCTATAACTGTAAGAATTTAATACTTTTAGCTAGTTACTCAACAACAAATTTGAAAACAGAAATAAGTAGATACATTAAAAACTATAGAAATGTAAAATTTCTGTAGTCTGTAGTTTTTAATAAATATAATAAATATAGATCTGCTATTGATATATTTAATAATCTTCATGATAATACATTTTCATATCATAATGTTCTTGAAACAAAATACTCAAAGAATCAGATTTTTTTGCCTTTTACCTTTTAATTACAGAAGCAAATAGCTTCTCTGCATACTATCAATTTGTTTCAAAAAAAAAAATATAAGACATATTGACTTCTGTAAATGATTAGCTGCTTCAATTCTTGAATATTACTCAAATAAAACAATATATGAATGATCTAAAAAAAGAAAAAGATGAGATAATGAAGTTGAACAACACAATCTTGATTATATTTGAATGATTCTATAACAAAACAACTTAAAGGAAAGCATATTCAACATTATTACATGAATTGGCATAAGTATACAACAACTTGTTGTAGTTGCTTAAAATCATGTGCTTTATGTATAACTTGTTAGGCTAGTCATATTTGTGATATGTTTAATACAGCTTCAATGAGGTATGAAATTTTTTTTATATATTTATCAATATCTACTTTATTATTTTTTAAATACGCAACAAATAATTCTTTTTTAGTAAAGAGTATCATAGCCTGTAATAGTGTACTACATGTAATACATTTATTATTACTAAAAAAGCTATATATTCAAGATTATATAATTTTTTTAATTATATAATAAAAATTAATAAAAATGATATTTTTGCATAGTACAAAATTCAATAATTATTTGAGTATAAAATTATAATAATTTATTTATATTTGGTTATGCTATAAATTTTTTAAAATATACTACTGGTAGTATAAAGGCCTAAATCCTATCTATTAATATATAATAAAAGATATATTATATGTTATAGTATATGTAATTATATTAATTATATTGTAATTTTAACTTGTTATATTGTTAAATAAAGTTATTAGTTTAAATTTTAGATAAATATATAAACATTATATATAGATAATTTTATTAATTATATTTTTTTAAATTTTAAAAATCTATTATCCCTTAATCTGTAGGCTATTCCAGGCAAATTTGCCTGGAAAATTTATGTAACAATACCTATAATCTATATTTTTATAAAATTAATATATTTAAACAAAATTTTTTTTGATAATATTTGAAAATAAGGATTATATTTTTTTTTTTTTTTTTATTTTTAAGGTGGCTTACATTGCCAGGCGATTTTTATTAGTTTGATGTACGAGATTACACAT